AGATTTTGTTTGAAGTTTTAAAGAAAGAAGTTTACCAGTATCTCAGAACTGTCTACCAACTATACTCTTAAGTTTAGCAGTAGCTCAGAACTGTCACCCCAGTATTGCAAAAGAATTGGACGTGTTATTGGTCAATTTGTGACTTTGGAACCTTGAATCTGTCTATCAGCGAAGATTTAAATCACACTTTTTACACTATCGCACACACACACACACACATTGGTTCATCCTTGTACTAAGACCACAAAAGACCCCTTTCTAAAGAAGTGTTCTGTCACTCAAAAGCACTTGCATTACACTGTTTTGTGTTTGGTTTTTGGTGTTTTTGGTGTCTTTGTTCTATAGACACTTGATTCACTTACTAGTACATTATCAGCACAAAAATGTGGGCTCAGAGCTGTTTCTTCATCATTTTCCACCGAAAAAATTGACTGGTGTGAATGGCCTGTCAAATCTTCTGTCTTGGATGGGGATGGGGCAAGGTTTCCGCATGCATGAATTTCTACAGCTGGTTGCACCAGAAACAAGTTGTGGAATTTTCTTTTCGGACGGGCTTAATGCATGTATTGCGTTGTTTGAACATGGTATAGACTATAACTTGACAAGAATGGAGTCTCAAAGTAGGTGGTCGGATTGTGACGTGGTCCAATCTATGGCTACTTGCAAAAGCGGAAGCAGGAGAAATGGTTTTTTGCAGCTGTCTGATTCTGCTATATGGGGTCAGCCAAATCAGCTTATGTCAATCGCACCATCTAGAAAGCAAGATAATCTTTTTGGTTACCAGCAGGCACACCAGATGCCGCAATACTTTAGCAAAAGTTACCGTATATTGTCACCACGGCTTTTGCAAAAGTAGTGGAGAAATGTGAAAGCACAAACTAGCTATTTAGAGTTAGGGATAGGGTTAGGGATAGGTTAGGGATAGGTTAGGGATAGGTAACTTTTGCTCAAAGAAGTATACACCAGTCGCGCAGGCAAGCTTCATGGAAAAGACCTTGCAAACCCCTACTGGAGGCGCTAAGACTAGTCTAACAGATAGCAAAGAGGATCCTTTAAAAAAGTACAGCCCAAGTTAACCACTCGAACTTCTCCAGAAGTATAGACCAACATAAGAAGGCATACACAAGCTAGAGAAAACAAACAATAGACAAGATACCACCAACGAGACCTTCTAAAAAGCATGAGTCAGCGTAAGCGTAAAACATGCACCCCAGGATTTGGACCTGACAAGCAACTAGCAGTTACGCCTAGAACGACGAGGAGAGAGGACATTGAAAGGAGCAATACTTACCGCAGATAGAAATGCCAGCGATACCTCATACTCCTTGGGTACTAAAGAATATACCCATTCCGCCGGCACTCTACCCTGAAGTATGTAAGATAATACAGAACGAAAATCAACGCTGGAGTATATGAGCCTTCGAACTCGTCATATCGCTCTCGTTGGTTTACAGTCGTAAAGAAAGATGGAAAAAGCTTGAGACTAGTTCACAGTCTGGAACCCCTCAATGCAGTGACTATTGCTCACTCAGGGATTCCGCCGGCCACAGATGAGCTTGCAGCGCATTTCGCCGGAAGAGCTTGTGGAGGTGTGTTAGATTTGTATGTGGAATACGACGAAAGGCTTTTAGCTGAATCCAGTCGTGACTATACTACCTTTCAAACCCCTTTTGGAGCTCTAAGACTAGTAACCCTTCCCATGGGATGGACTAACTCAGTACCCATCTTCCACGACGATGTAACTTACATTCTCAAAGACGAAATACCTCACACTACCGTCCCTTACATAGACGATGTGGCGATTAGGGGTCCGAAGACAAGGTACGAACGTTCCGACGGAAGTTACGAAACGATACCCGGGAACCCTGGTATTAGGCGTTTCGTGTGGGAACACTTCGAAAACCTAAACAGAGTAGTCCAAAGAATGAAATATGCAGGCGGAACGTTCTCTGGACATAAGGCCATCCTATGTGCAGATGAATTCCAAGTAGTAGGGCATACCTGTAGCTATGAAGGAAGGAAGCCTGATCAAAGTAAAGTCGCGACCATCTTACACTGGGAGTGATTTGAAAATGTCAGTGATATTCGAGCCTTCCTAGGGACTACTGGTGTCCTCCGGATGTTTATCAAAGATTACGCTAAGAAGGCAAACGGATTAACAAGGTTGTTGCGAAAAGATAGTAGGTTTGAAATGGGACCAGATCAATACTGTTCGGTCTCGAACCTGAAGGAAGCTGTGGTGGATTGTCCATGCCTAGGGAACATAGACCTAGAAAGCAGCGGGGAGGTCATACTTTCCGTGGATACTTCCTACATGGCTGCTGGATTCTATATTCGACAACTAAGTCCCGACGGAGATAAAGCTAAAACTAAATTTATACGTTTTGGCTCTATTACTCTAAATGACAGAGAAGCAAGATTTTCACAACCAAAAAGGGAACTATATGGGTTATATCGAACCTTGTTAGCAACAAAGCATTTATTGTATGGCGTCAGGAATCTTGTAATAGAAACTGATGCCAAGTACATCAAGGGGATGCTTCAACATCCAGATGAAGCCCCAAATGCTGCTATCAATCGATGGATAGAACAGATCCTAATGTTTCACTTCACTCTAAGGCATGTGGAAGGAAAGACTTTTGGGCCTGATGGTTTGTCCCGGCGGAAGCCTTCCGAAGGGGACGAGCAATACTCCAACCCAGAGGACAAGTACTATCACGATGTTGAGCCTTTCAAGTTCGAAGTTGAAGCAGGTAACGATGATACTACCTTGGACTATGATGAATTCAAGGAAGACATTGATACCAGGGGTGGGTTCCTGATCGACACTTCCCTCGGAAGTTTTATGAGAGACGTAATGGAAAAGCGAGACATGGAGTACCTAACCAGGACACGAGTTGCAGGTTCTTGTCCAGAAGGAGCGGAGATTGTGGCCCAGATGCCTCAGTTAATGCTTCCGACGGAAGACGACAACGAGCCCTACCGTGACAAGCATAGGTCTCTGAAAGCGAAACAGATGGACGAGGATTTACTGGCCGTCAGAAAATGGTTAAGGGACCCTAAAGCGAGGCCAGAAGGAATGACTGACCGAAGGTACAAGAACTTTGTTACCTTCGGAAGGAAGTTCTTTTTCAATGAAGAAAGAATGTATCGAAGAGATCCAGATGGTAAACACAGGTTAGTTGTTCCAAAAGAACAACGAATGTATTTACTATTTGCAGCGCATGATAGTCTGGGACACCGAGGGGTGTTTGCGACCAAGTCTCTATTGCAAGAACGTTTTTGGTGGCCAGATCTGGAGGCAGATGTTAACTTTTATGTGAAATACTGCCACATCTGCCAAACCCGCCTGAAGGACTACGTAAAGATGCCTCCAAAGGTAACACCTACACCCTCATTGTTCCAGGTTATGCATACCGATACCATGCATACGCCGATAGCTTCCGAGGGAAAGAAATATATAGTCCATGGAAGGTGCGCCATGAGTTCTTGGATGGAAGGGAGACCGCTGGCAAAGGAGAACCAGAGAACCATAGGTGAATGGTTGTTCGAGGATGTGATTTGCAGATGGGGATGTTTAGCAATGCTAATCTCAGATAATGGGGGAGCATTCAAAGCAGCTCTATCGTATTTGGAGAAAAGATATGGAATAAAAGGGATCCAAATATCAGGTTACAATTCGCAAGCCAACGGAAAGATTGAGAGACCTCACTGGGATGTCCGTCAGGCACTTTATAAGGCTTGCGACGGAGATGTCAAAAAGTGGGCTCGAAGGTTTCCGCTGGTAATGTGGGCGGACCGGATTACCACAAGGAAAAGGATGGGTTGTTCCCCCTTCTTTGCTGTTACCGGCGCCATGCCTGTTCTTCCGTTTGATATTGTTCAAGCAACCTGGCTAGTACAAGTACCTGATAGGACCCTTTCCTGGGCAGAACTTATTGGGGAAAGAGCCAAGGCCCTAGCCTTGCATACCTCGGAAGTCGACAGGATCATTGAGGGCATTGAAAAGAAGAAAATTAAAGATACTTTGAGGTACTTAGACACTCACAAGGCTAAAGTTCGTAACTGGAATTTTAAGCCTGGCTCTCTAGTACTAGTAAGAAATACAGCAATAGAGAAATCACTCAACAGGAAGTTGAAACCGCGTTTCCTAGGGCCATGTATAGTTGTCCGACGGACAATTGGAGGGTCTTATGTTCTGGCGGAAATGGATGGTTCTGTCTTGCAAAATAAGATAGCGGCTTTCTGCGTCTATCCATATCACGCCAGACGAAAGATAAAGCTGCCTGATAATCTGACAGGACTCACTGGCTTATCCGAAGGTGAACTTGAGGAAATCATAAATGGTCCTGAGCCAGATGACACACCTCCGGTTGAACTAAGAACAGAAGGTACCATTGAGGAACTTCCGGCGGAAATACCGGAAGATGAAGGGTGGTCAAGTACTTCCGAAGAATAGTGCCCAACTAGGAAAGATTTTGCCATGCCTCTAAGAATAGTCATCAAAGCGTGACTTGTAGTGTCACGTTATGAGACAGTTTTCCCAAAAAGGCGAGCGATTCGAGTGAGGCGCAATTCGACAGGACGGATTCGAACCGAGGAGTCTAGGTAGTAGGACAACTGCCACTAACCCTGGTAGCCATTCTACCAAACTGCCGTACCAGGCTGAACGTCTCCGGTCATTTAGAAGAACATGATATGAAACTGAAGACGGATTCAAAAGTTAAAAAGGCAATTTCACAGAATCTCCATTGAGTAGCCCTGGACTTGAACCAGAAGGCTCGTGCAAGAGGGCATTACCACTATGCCATCCTACCCTAGCTGGTAACGGAACTACCTTTACTTTGGCCGAGCGTGATTTGCTGTAAAAAGCTCTTGCCACCGGAACAAACCTTCCGGCGGAACAGAAGAAGTTTAAGACTAAAGTGGGACTCCCACGAGAAGAACGAGACTCAAAAAAACGCGACAGATAAAAACCATCAAATACAGGAATACCATTGCGTAGGCCGGGATTTGAACCAGGGACTCTTGCGAGTTATGGGAAACTTGCAAGAGGGCATTACCACTATGCCATCCTACCATGATCTGTAACGAGGTTACCTTTAGTTTGGCCAAGCGAAGTAACTGTGGCAAGTTTATGCCACCATAACAAAACTTCCAGCGGAGCGGGATAACTTAAGACCAGTTGGTGTCCGACGAAAAACGGAAAATCCGTCGGAACCCCACAGAGAAAAACCGTTTCCAGAGAATCTGCATTGAGTAGTCCTGGATTCGAACCAGGAGGCTCTTGCTATTTGGGGGAAACCCGCAAGAGGGCATAACCACTGTGCCAAGCTACCATGATGGGTAGGGAAGTTGCCTTTAGGTTGACCAGCAACCGCAGCTGTGGCAACCCTTGCCACCGAGTAAAGAGAAAGAGTCAGAAGGATAAAAAGGGCACCGAAGAGATTGCGTATGAGCAGTACTTGGATTTGAACCAAGGACTCTTGCAAGGAGTTTACACCCTCGAAAGATGGCTTTACCACTGCGCCATACTACCGTCTTGGACGAGGAAGTAGCTTTTACTTCGATTACCAAAAGGGGAGGGCTGTGGCAAAAGTTTGTCACGTGACTAAATATTCTGCCTTTTCCAGTGATGAAAAAGCTACATTTTCTTCACAGACCAAAGGGGACAGCCCTGGATTCAAACCAGGCACTGTCTCATGGCGCAGTACGCTAGAGACAGGGCACTAACCACTGTGCCAAACTGCCCATGATGGAGGGGTGAATGCGGGCCTCTTAACCAAATAAATGGTGGAGGGGTTGAGCGAGAAGCAACCTCCGACAGACACTAGAAAATTGAAAAAGGCTCTTTTATCCCTCGGAAGAAAAAGGTGAACATAGTAGGACCTAAACCTATTGGCAGTCTTGGAGTCGAACCAAGGACTCCTTGGAGGCATCAGCCACAAGGAGGGTACTAACCACTGCACCATACTGCCATGGTTGGGGATGTCGATGTGATCTTGTTAACCGACAGAGGACACCTTCCGCCGGAGGAAACGTGAAACTACTAGAACTACATCACCTCCGGGCAACAGAGAAAAAGATTTAATGAGCCGAAATATTAACAGCATTGGAGTCGAACCAAAGACTCTTTCGAGGAAGAACTATGAAAGAGGATGCTAGCCACTGCACCATACTGCTGTAATTGGGGGACGGATCCAGGTTTCTTGGCCAACGAGGAAAGTCTTCCGCCGGAGAACGCGAAAACACAGGTTAACCTCCGGAAGAAAAACAGAAAGTAAGAGCTGAAGGACAACCTTGGATTCGAACCAAGAACCTCATCCTTCATAGCCAAGGGGGGGTGACCAATCGAGATAAGGCGGTGACCACTACACCATATTGCCCGTGCTGAACCAGGCAACGTCGGTTTGTTTGAGCAGAATTGGAAAGGTGGCGGGGAACGTGACCAGAAGACGTGCTTACGAGAAGACAATTGTACAAAATTTCCATATTTGGAGCATACTACATACAGACGCATCTGAATAACTAAGAGAAAACGCCCTGCTCCTTCGGAATAGACACAGAAAACCTATCGATGGATGCAAAAGTCAGAAAATAGTCAGAATCGACGAGCCAGAAAGAACTCACTATCAATATAACTAGTCCTGCTGGGACTGGGAGGTTCCCTCGGAAACAGCGTCGTCAACGCGTTTATCCTGATCCTGGACTTGAGAACTTTCGACGGAAGTGTTATTGGCAGTCGGAGTCAGAGCCACAGAAGCTTCGACATTTCCCTCGGAAGTACCGTTAGTGCTAGCGGTTCCCCTACGAGGACAGTCCTAAAGATGAAGAGTAATGGGAAGGACGAAAAGGTCCGCGAGACAAGGAGACATACCTCACGGCGATGATACGCAGCCCTAAAAGCTTCGTTCCAATCGATAAATCCCCAGGAAGCAGCTCTGGGATCATGAGGCAAAGGTGCTCCCTCGGGAATGATGACCATTTCGACTTCCCCTGTGTTTGGGTTCAGATAGTAGGCAATGCAGGGTGGCGTTTCGTCCCCAGTAATGCCATTGAGAGCAGAAGAGTTAGAGTCAGATGGGTTGGAGTTCAAACCGGGCATATTGGCTGAAAAGTTGCCTTGGAACAAGTCGTCCACTTATAACTATCAGTCTGAATATTTGCTTCCAGTGGATAATTCTCGATTCAGACTAAGGCGGTTTCTAATGATCGAACGCATGTTTTCTGCACACAGTTTTTATTATCGCCTACAGGAAAAGATTCCACAGAGATAAGAGAACGACTACGGTCAGAGAAAGGAGTGTGGAGTATTTGATAAAGAAAGATTTAGGAAAAAGATGCTGGAAAGTTATTTAGCGCCATCAGACAGTTTTGTTGGAGTCGGAAGTGTCGGTTTCGGCTTCCGAAGGGGCTGCACTAGCTGGAGCTGAAGCTGTGGCTACTGCTTCCTCAGGTACAGACTCCATATGACTATCAGGGTCGGCCTCAACTGTGGAAATGATGCCAGTTCCTCTGGAACTTGGGCCAGCCACAATGTTTGACGGTCCGGCGGAAAGACCAGTAATATTGACCAGCTGGCGAAGACCATCAATCTCGGGACCAGAGAGCAAAGCAGCATTTTCCCCAAGAAGATCTTGGAGAATTTGGATGGAGCCTTGCAGATGGTTCATCTGCAAGACCATTTCCAATGCGGAAGTGCGGATCCTGGCCTCAAGCATCGATATCGCCTCCAGAACACGACGAGTGCCCGAAGTGCCTGCACCAGTGGCCGACGGAAGCAACGCTTCCTGGTACTCCCTGGCTAGATGAAGTACAGTCACCAGACCGGCTTCAGAAAGGGGCGAAAGGTCCTCTGACGGAAAGTTTCAGACGGAAATTCGAAACCATAACATAGTAAAAGAATGCTTACGAAGGATTCCCTGGACGGCTCCTGGATTGATCAGACGGTACTGGTCCCGCAAGGCTTGAACTTGACGGACAGTGGTAGCAGCCTCTTCCGAGTCTGCTCGAGCTCATTTCCGACTGAGCTCCTGTCCGGCGGAAACGGTCTTCTGAGCCTGGAAACCTGGGGATGAGAAAATATAACAAAGATGGAAAGATCGCAGCAAACCTGGTCAACCAGTTCGGCGGTCGAAATTGTGGTCTCCTGCAATAAGCGTAATAGTGGCTTTAGTTGACTCCATACAAAAGTAAGGAAGCTCAACAGCGTTACCAATTGATGGGGAGTATGAGGACGACTAGCACGCTGAGTTGTCTAAAGATAAGAACAATTAGTACCATACAGATGGAACGAGGGAGTTGGAGATAATACCGCTGGGGCCTCATCATCACTAATGGGGATGGGTTCCTCCTTTTTCTTGCCTTTCTTCTTTTTCGAAGACTTGGTAGCCTAAACGAATTGGGTTATCAATTTGGAAAACGAGAATCTAGAAAACGGGGGACCATACACTGCTTCCTTCGGAAGTACCTTTTCCCTCGGAAGTTTTTGGTGGAGGAGTAGGTGCGGGCTCCGCCATTTCAACATCTCCAGAAGAGACACGGACACTGGCCGGAGCATGACTAGAAGACACAATGGAACGGTTGGGAGCAGCCCTAGGTGTACCTATGTAAGATCCCCCACGGGGAGGTCTCTGGGAAGGACGACCACTCCCTTCCGACTGAAACGAAAATCTTAGCCTAAGAAATTACCTTGGGAAGAGAATTGAAAATGACCCACACGATACGATCAACGGTTTTCAGAAATGTCTCAATACCGACGGACGAATGATTGAACTTCCCCATGAGATCGAGGCATCTCCAAAGACAAAGCATTGAAAACAGCTTCCGCAGAGCGGTGTCGGGCAAGAACTTGTTCTCCATAAACTTGGTATCCTGTAAAAGGGACGGTGCTTCGGGAGTATGGGTAATGTCCGCCTGAAGAGAAAAGATTATCAGTCAGAAACGATTTTGCGATGTTGACAGTGGAAACCTACTAAGACTATAAGGACTGCCTCAGCATCGGCACAACTTTGATAGTTGTAACGGCCTTGGTTGTCCTCAAGTCGGTTCTGCAGGTCGACTGCACGATTCCGAAGTGTGTTTCGAAGAGTGTCCAACTGCTTGGGTGGACCACTCATAGTAACAAGGAATTATAAACGAATTCAAATGAGAAGTTTCAGACGGAAGCAAAAATAAAGTCCCTGGCAAATGTGGATCCTTTTATACTGAGACGGGCCTAACCTATGGGTTGGGGACAACCATTTTCAGTAAGGGGGAGATATAAGGTGGCATGGAGAAAATGACCTAAAGCCACAAAATTTTGCCGTCGGTAAAATGACGCATAAATGGATCTAACAGCATTGCAACAAAAGACAACTGACAAAATAAACAAGTACACAATTTCCGCTGGAAATCATGCACACCCCAAACAAGGCGTTCTAATATCTGCCGGAAGGTTTTACTTGTGAAATTTCGAGATCTCAGTTATGTCTCACATAGACAATCACACTCAGAAGGACAAACAGTTCACAATCAGATGGTATTTGAAAGGCACTAGTAATACAAACAGAGGTGCCAGTAGGATACATCAAAAGCACAATGATAGCAAGATATAGCAGGGGTAACAAAAGAGATACAAAGGTACTTGGTATACAACAATAGTACCAGTACAAGACAGCAAGAACAACATAGCACATTGAGACACAGATACGATAAAACAGCTACAGAAAAGATTTGAAGTCCAAAGAGAAATCGTGTCCGACGGAAATAGCGATCAAGAAAGCTTCAGAGGCCGAGGGCATGAAATTGGTCGCGATACCACCTAATTCTTTCTAACTTTGCGACCAGCACTGCGAGCCTTAGATCCTGGAGCCTGTAAGAAAAACATTACCCACTGAAAAGAGATAGAGAAGAGGGGAACTTACATGATGGCTCTGAGGCCTCTCGAGCTCTTCCCGAAGGAACTCGCGCGGAGGCGGATTCTTCTTCTTCTGCGATCCCGAGTTCTTCTCGAACCACTCAACTAGTTCCTGCGGAAGCTCGTAGTGAACGTTTTCGTCGAAGTTCAACCCTTCCACCGGTTATTGGATACCGAAGGCTTCCTGATTGACCTCCAGGTTTGCGATTTCCTCCTTCAAAGTTGAGGAAGAGCGCGAGTCGCGGGTCAGCTCCTCTAGCCTTCTGGGGAAAGCGGTGTCGGCTTTGACCAAACAAGAAGTGACGCGGTAGGAGGAAGAGGCGAGGTTTCCGGCTGCCAACGCATAATTGGCAGCGGCAAGTTCAAACTGGAGCTGAGCCCTAGACTTGTCTTGGGCCAGGGCATCTAGGTCTAAGGAAAGAAGTAATGAGAAAGAATTTCCGACGGAAAAGAGGTTACTTACGGACGAGGGAGAATTTGGCATGCTCGGCAGCCAGGTCTAAGCTCCGCCCAAGTTTGGAAGGTGCGAGGTTACACCCTACTCCAGACTTGATGCAGTTAAGACAGGTGTTGCAGCCATTCCCTCGGAGGAAACAGACTTTCGAAGCCAAGCCGCTAATAAGCTGGCTAACTGAGTGAAG